CTCCACTGTCACCAGCACCACTGCTGTCATCATCATCTTCTTCATCCCCGCCATCTTGCTCTTCCTTCCTCTCCTCAAGAATTGCAGTAACCCTCCTGATTACAGATAAAATGTCCTCTTTATCTTCCAGTTCACTTTCATCGTCGTCATCGTCCTCACCACCAACGTCATCAACGTTAACATCACCGTCATCGTCATCATTATCATCACCTCCTCCTTCTTCGTCTTCGATGTGATCTCTCTCTTCCTTCTCTTCGTTCTCATGCTCTTCTTCTTCTTCCGTCTCTCCTTCTTTCTCCTCCTCTCCTTGCTTCTCATCTGCTTCTTCTTCTTCTTCTTCTCCTTGTCCTTGTCCTTCTTCTTCTTCTTCTTCTTCTTCTTCTTCTTCTTCTTCTTCGTCTTCTTCTTCTTCGTCTTCTTCTTCTTCGTCTTCGTCTTCTTTTTCTTCCTAAAATAGGAGTTGAAAATTAATTTTTGTTTTGTTTACACCTTAAGATTTTCTTAAAGGACTATCTATCGTCTATTCTGCCTCGGTTGATATCTTTATGTTTTACAGATCCCAATGATATTGACAGACGTGAAGCTCTAGACTGTAACCATGGCGCTTAACTGACCTTTTTCCTCCCTAATATAACCTTACATATAGCGCTTTAGATATGAAATGTTAACCGCACTACCTATGCGACCGAGCTCGGTACAACCCAGTTACTATGTGACTGCTTTCTACACAAGCCAGTAGCTCTTTGATCGCACTCTACAACATTACAACATACCGGTATCTGCAAGTTCTCATCTCGAGAAATAGATAACTGGAAATGAATTATCGTTTTCCGTAACTTATCTCTAGCCACTTCAAATTTTTATACGGTTCGTTCTCTACCCCGAATTTAGGTTTTACAGGCGGTTTCACAAGAAATCTTACTTCTCAGAATCTTTTAATTGGAAACACGGGGAGCGTTAAATGACACTTGGGTAACATTTTTATACTCTTAGAACGGCTACTTTCAATGCGCAAAGTAGAATCCGAAAAATGTTCAGCATAAAAATATTTCGATAAAATGTATGAGATATGATTTATCTTCGTCACAAACGATACATTTGCAATCTATTTTTTTTCCTTACCTTCTCTTATTCGTGGGGATTGTCTGGTACGCGTAGCTCACGTTCACAATGGGTGGTCCAGTCGTCGTTTCAAGAATTTGTGTAAATTTGAAATACCCCATTTTTTCACGCTTGTATTCTATTGCAAATGCGATTCTTGCTGATCGAATTTCTTTTGTTACGCTCACTATCACCTGAGTAGCCTTAACCCTTCGCTCTGTTTCCGTGTTAATTGCATTGTTAGTCCTTGTCATGTACACTTCGTCTGACATTATGGCGCTTTTTTCGTCTTTTGAAAGTTGCAAACTCTTCAACCATGCTAGCTGCTTCAACCTCGTAACTGGTCAAACGACACAATAGATGTCATTGTTTACATCATCCGTTCGAAATATGTTATTTCTCCTCGCGCTGAATTTGCGCGCGCAAACAGTTTTGCTTTCAAGACAACTAAATCTGCTGATTTCCAGTTCGAAATGTAGACTGACAATTAATCAACCTAGTTTTACGAACTGCATCCATTATAATCTGTTTTGAAGCCATTCAAACACACGCTGAATCCAATTTTAAGTTCAGTCAAATGGAACAAACTGTACACGCCAGTTACAAACGTAACTCCAAAAAGCATGGCTTGTCTAGCACATTCCTCATTACTGAAAATTAGAAAATTTGATAATGTAATTCAAGAGTTTTCATTGGCTTAGTCATTATGGTATGTGAGCCATTATAACATGCACTACAGATATGGTTAGCAAACGCGTAATTTTTGGAGGCGATTTTATTTTTATTTTATTTTAGTTTTGGAGGAGTTTTTAATAAAGAAATTATTCTACTCGCGCTTGTTGGATATCCAATGTACGCTCGTGGAATAATTGTTAATTTATTGTGCAGTCGTTGTAGTTAGTCTACGAAATAGAGGCGCTTTCTGGTTTTCCCATCGAAGTTTTGGAGGAGAGTTAATAAACAAATTGATAATTAAATACCTGAGAAGCCTAAATGAAGCCGATTTACGGTTTCTTGATTTTATAAACTCGACGTTGTTGAAATACTGATGAGCTGCTCATTTCAATTCAGATTACAATCCATTCCGCGCGAGTGTGAAGTGGGAAGTTTAATACTACGTAGAAAAATAATTAGAAATCGTTATTTAGAGGAAATTTAGTTAGAGGTCTGTTAAAACAATAAGATTGTTCGCTCTCGATTTCTGAGGCCATAGTTGACCTTATACTAAAATCTGATTGATAAATTGTGATGTGTACGATAGCTCAGCCAATCAGATTGAACCATTTGCGATAGTATAGGGCAGAATTCTACAAAATAGGTAGCGTCGCCGGGCTGATTTTGGTTTCACTGAATGACCTGAGTATATCCGAGCCGTGAGCAGGCAGACAAAAGCTTAAAGCCACATCTTGCTCTTTAAGTAAGCCACCGGGTTTACTAGCACACCACTGTCCAATTACTATTAGTAATAATTATAACTCCAAGTGCGCTCCAATTCTCAGTATCACCTTAGAAATTCTGATTTTACCATACCTAGATTTTGGACTGTTGCTTATGGCAAACATAGCCTGACTTATTTAGGCCCTGTCATTTGGTCCAAACTCGACAAATCTATTCGATCTTCGGAATCATTGCACACTTTTAAAAAGCCCATCAAATCTTATCTTATCTTATCTCGTCTCGTCTCGTCTCGTCTTATCTTATCTGAGTAACTGTTTATGTAGCTGGTGGGGTTGAGTTGATACTGTTTGGTTCAAAACAAAACAAAGCGGTAGGCTTGTCCGGGGGCATGCTTCCCCGGGATAAGTTAGATCCTTAGAACATCAGAACACTATTTGTAGGCATTTTGGTATAATTTTTAGCACTGTTATATATGCCGTCTGTACACTTAATAGTAATTATTTTGAGTGACTCCAACCCCCCTCCCCCCCTACACAGCATTTTTTTTCGGGCCGGCCATTTTGGAATGGTCTGGAATGAATTAAGATGTGGTATTCTCACCGCGAAAGTTGCGAAGGGTTCATTTCAAACCATCAGTAAGCTCAGCTGTGCGATATTAAAGAGAGTTACCGCTTTAGGTGTTTAGGAATGGAGGGAAGCTCCGCATAGCATGTCTATGACTACTCCTTACAATAGACACTTTGCATAAATGGCGCCTTAATTTGAATAACAATGCTAACTTTGTGCATCCTTAGCCTTGTACTTATGTTTCCAGACAAAACATTTTTCACATTAACGTGAGGCTCAGGATGTATATAAAGGATTGTTATTCAAATTTTTCAAATTTCTATACAAACTTGTCTCCGTAGCTAAGAGAGTATTACAGACTCAGTCATATCAAAACCAGAAAATTTATGAGATTTATTTTATTTTATTTCTCCCGTGTCTTGGAGAACTTTGCTGATTTGAAAATGGTTCAGGGTTTTCACTGGAGGTCTCTGACAAATGGAATATTAGGAGTTCGCAGAGGCTTGCTGTTGTTGTGTTGAAGATTTTCAGAGCCATTTATGAAAACGTATCCCATCGCTTCCATCCGCGGCTCACAAGCCTCTTCAAACAAGGAGACCCGTGAAGAGTTTTCGCGAAATCTCCAGTTATCGATTCTAGTAGCATCCGCGTTTGATATAACCATTCCATGGTTATGCGATCGGACCGGAGGCGGAACGCCCTTAATCCAGTTGTTAATGGTCTCTATCATGTCGAGACCAATGAATTTATACGTATCGTTCACCAGTTTTGACATATTGCTGATAACATCTTCGTAACGAGCAAGAATGTAGCAGCTCTTAAACCACTTTGACCATTCTGTATAAATTAAACGTACTCTAAGTTTTCTGAGACCAGAGAGCAAAGCAAATGCGCGTTATCCTTCAGATTGGCTATTCCTGTCGGAGACAAGCTTCTCGCAGGTTTCTCTATGAAGTGTCGTTTAATTAAAGAAGAGAAGACAGCACGAGGATCTCTGACCGGATGAACAATCAAACAGTGACACTTACTAGGATCTGAGCGACAAACTCGCTCCACTTCACGAATTCCAATTTCCCTGGGAAGTCGTGTTTGCATGATCTTGGTTACTGTTATTTTTCGCGCATCGCAAGCTTTTCTCAACGACTCTTTAGTCAACGTTGTTGACTTATTATACTATTGGTCGTGGTACCTTACCCATCTTGGAAAAACTAGTTTACACTATTTACACTTGTTGAAAGCCACATGTGAATAAGTCGCGTACCAGAGTCGAAAAGTCTTTCCTTAAGGCGTCGTTCCTCGATTTGTCAAAGACACGCCACTCACTCCCATAAACGTTTCTCCTAAGAGCAAGTAGTGTTCCATAAACTTAAACACATCTGGGTGAAGATTAAACATAAATCCCACAACTGTCGATCCAGAACTCATAAGCGTTAACAGAATCACATTAAATCTGGGTTCAGTGTTGTTATTTTTCACTTCCGATGTCGGTGATACAAAGCTGCTTCCTGTCTTTATCTGAGGCATCCCTAACCTTGTCTTCTCGTTTGATTGACTCGGGTATATAACAATAATGAAGAAAAGGAAAATAATAGCTGCGAACACTGTAGGGCCTTTTAATCCTCTTATCATGTTCACTCTTAGAAGCAAAAGAGTTTGATTAATTTTAATCAGAAGCTAATTAAGATATTCTTACTAGAAAAAAAAGATCATAATCCTTGTCAGAATCAACCACAATGAAAACTTTAACAATCTATTTACACTATTTTCATTGGTGATTAATACCCTAGGGATTATGCAAAAATTTGTGTTTTGTATTTTTAAGAATTTACACGCGTTCCACCCTATCACCCTATTCGAGGCCGCGAAAGCGAAGAGGTTGGCGACCCCGGCACCCTCCATCCCACCAACGAGTAAGTCGGGCTTGACCTAGCTGTCCGCTTCTATTTTCGCCTGGTCTTAGGCCTCTCCCAGGCCAGAGTGATTCCCCATAACTTATCACCATGTCATGCCTAACAATACCCAGGGTAGAATATTACACTTCTTATTTCTTTCCTGATTCAATTGTTGTGTTGTAATGTCTAATGCAAGCATATTAAATTCCAGTTTCTTTTCCACCAACGTACTATATATAAGTACATACTGACATTGATAGAGGAGTCATTTTAGACCTAGTAATTGTTACATTGTTGTTGTATTGTGACATGGAAGTTGTACGTTACGTCTTAAGATCCATCACATATGTTGTTTGGTCGTTTGGAGCATGACGCGTGTTCACTTGCTGAAAGTGAAAGTCATCTATTTCGGTGTCTTATACATGATCCATATGATCCAGATAAATTTAGAAGTTTTGTGAATTGTTCATTTGAATCAGAAAATTACTTTCATGATCTGGTCTGATTTGTATCTCGTGATGGTTTGTGCGACTCGACTGATCAATTCAACAAGTGGTCCATAAAACACCCGGGAGGGGGCAGGGAGGGTACTCCCAGAAAAGTTGGATGGGGGTGTGCGGCCCACTTCCCAAAACCCTTACCCTATTTATAACCAAAATCTGCGATTTTCCCCACCCTATTTATGACCTGGCCGAAACTTCAATACCCTATTTGTGACCGTTGCGGCTGGCGCAGTTGCCCTAAACTTAAGTTATGAAGGGCTTTTGCTGACGTTCTTATTGATAATGATGAAAAAGTAGCTTCTTCTAAGAAACATACCCAATTCAAGACTAGAGTGCTAAAACCACACCCTATTTAAGACCATAATGGCCAAAATCGATACCCTATTTATGACCAAAACGACTGAAAAACCCTACCCTTTGGGGCCGCACATACTTCTATAGCCCATATAAGGGATTATTCCCACCGGAATAAAGCAAAACAGGCTTTATGCCTTTGACACTATGAACGTCTCTTTTAAGCGGCCAACTATTAAGC